TGTAAATGACTACTTTAGCTTCAACCTCAATAATACATGGGCAAACAATAGATAAAAAATCAAGGTTAAACACTCCAAACTCAATTGCAGAAAATACGACTTCAGCAACAGAGTAGTCAACACCTGGGATGCTCTACCTGGCTCCGTTGTTACAACCTCTAACCATCAACCTTAAATTATCTACTGTGAACCTCACACCATTCCTAAGAGGTCCATAAAGGGGGCATGCATAAGCGCACCAGTGTATCTACCTTCCCTGTCCCCATTTATTTGTACTCATTTCCTTTGTTCATGCCCATGTTTATACTTATACCTGTTATCTTGCACGTGTTTGACAAACTAAATAAAAACAGTGAAGAAAGAAAATCCCTGACCAGTAAATCATCCTAACAGACAGACGATCCTATATAAGTACATATATGTGCATAATGTGACATTATATTTTGTTGCACCAATGTGAACATGTAGCACATTATGCCAGCCCTGCAAGTCTATCATACTAAATAGTTAGGTGTTATGTTGCATTCAGAAGTCTGACAGCCCACCGATAGAAGCTATTTGTCAGCCTGTTTGGTTGACTAGCTAGGCTTCTGTATCTTCTGGCCGATGGTGGGAGAGTAAAGAAGTGCTGACCAGGGTGTGAATAATCTCTGAGGATTTTCCTCATTCTTCTAAGGAAGCAAGTCCTAGCAATTTCACCTAGTGAAGTCAGGGGACAGCCCATTATATTTTGCGCTGTGCTTTGTAGTATCTTTCTATCCATGGCTGTCAAGCCAGCATACCATATCGTAATGCAATATGTGAAGACGCTCATCGACTGGTAGAAGCAGGTCATCAGTCATTGTTCCACCTTGTTTGTCCACAAGACCCTCAGGAAAGGAGTCTTTGTTGGGTCATCCTGACCACCTAGATCAGGGGTAGTCAACCTTTTTAGACCTACCACCCCACTTTTGTATCTCAGTAGTAAAATTTTCTAACCGGCCACCGGTTCCAAATTAATGGTGATTTATAAAGTAGGGAAGTAACTTTACTTTATAAAAT